TTGGCCCAGCCTGTAAGGCGTTGCCATTCCACCAAGGGGTGGGAGATCTTCGATGTGAAGGATCTGAGCCTCTTGATCAGTTCAGATCTTTTTTCTTCGGAGAGTGAGATTGAAAGGTCTCTGGTGCAGATTGTATGCCCGATGATTTCGAGCGTAGGCCCGGAGAGTTGCTTCTCCCAGGCCCACGGAATTCCTAACAAGTTGAAAAGGTGTAGGAATTTCGCTTGGTTGATTGGGATTTGTTGGCCTTTGAACAGGACTACTTCGGATGCCAAGCCAACCCCCCAGGAGTCATCCATGTAGGAGTTAAGGCCTTTGATTCCGAACTTGTGAAAAGCAATCCAAAGAACGAGGGAAAAGAATGAGCACCATAGTTTGGGAGAACTAGAGCATCCAAAATTCACATTCCTGTCGCAATGGTATGCGTTGCCGATTTTCACAATCTGGCGGAGCTGCCACTGGCGGTGCGCTGATAGGACGCGGAAAGCGCCGTCGACGTCTGATTTCCATAGGATCATTACGTGGTTTGAGTGACGGTGAAGAATCAAACAGGGTATGAATGAGGCGATGGAGTCGAGGTCGATTTTTATTTTCTCTTTATTGATGAGGTCGTTTGGTGATGGGTGGCCGAAAGACATGTTGGTACATGTCCTGACTTTTCCCGAGTTCGGGTTGGTGGCTAGGCAGAGTGGGGAGGCTTTCATGCCCGGTAACAGCGTGTAGAACGGAGGGGAGAATCTCTTCATGGAGACTTCTTTATCCCTGTATTTTTCGAGGGTGCGCTCGGCGTCGATTCCCGAGACGTGGTTGCCCGGGTCGACTATGTCGTTGGAAGGTAGAGAGGATAGAGGCCAGAACCCTTCGGACAGGCCCAGCAGGATTGATTGTACGAAGGGTTGGTTCGGATGGTCGGTGAGTAGGGACGAGAACTTTTTCTTGTTGATGGGGCAGGTGATGTCGAACAGGTCCGGCCTGCGTTTGATGGCATATGCTGCCAGGGGATCGGATGAGAGGGGCGGCGCCGGCGGCAAAGGCTCAGCCTTTAGCGAGGATTCCACAGAGGCTGAAAACCCGTCAGCCAATATGTCGATTTTGAGTCCTCGTAGATACCGATGTCCGCTTGGCTCATTTGTGTTCTTGGCTTCCTTGATGAGTGCCATTGCATCCATCTTTGTTGCGGAGATTGTGAATGCGCTCGCACTCAGCGTCTGTATGGGGACAGACGCCAAGGTTCCAATTGTTGCAAATTTGATCACCCAAAGGAACGCCTTTTGCACTCTTGACCGTATAGTTTGGTTTGCGGCGTCGACCTTTGGGTTTGGAGTCTTTGGAGTTTTTTGCGGGTGCTGATGATTGGTATGATGATGGCTGAACGGAAACTCTTGCACCGGTCGCGTTAGAGGTTTCCGCGCGGTGTGATTTTGAGAATCGACTGGCTGCGCTATAGAGCACGCGGTTGTCAATTCCCCGTAGGCTGTCGTGAGCGTATTCACCCCATACAAGCCACGGGCGGGAAGAAAACTCCTTGCGGAGCTCGACATCAAAGTCCTGGACATCTTCCCAGTTAACTTTAGCTTGGAAGAGTCCTGGCAGACCAAATATGTAATCGAAATATTTTTTGATGGAGTTGGCCGCCGGAGGGTAGGCTGCAATGTAGGCGTGTCGCAGGACTGACATGAGGTCCTTCCAGTGGTTGTTATTGTTGATTTCCTTAGGTGTCGCTCCGTCGATGCTTTTAAGTTTTCCGGAGTCGTTGACTTTGAGAAAGGATTCGGCAGGGCTGTTGGTGGACACTTCGCCATAGAGCTTGCGTAGGTCGACGAAGTTGTATTCCAACAAGTCTTTTGTGAGTGAGTTGTGCCAATTTGGTGGACAATTTCCACACGAATTAAACAAGGAAACATATTTTTTAATGTTGGATTTGTAGAGCAAGGCGATTTTTTGAATTTCGCGAGAGAGGGGAGAGAATGCCTCGGGGGAGAGATGTTCATTGTGAGCCAAGAATGGCGCCACAGTATCATCGACCTCCCCTTCGGAACCAGAGGTGGCTGGTGCCCCAGAGACAGCTGGTGCTGGGGGGGGGTGTGAACCCCCCATCCGAGGAAGAGCTCGACGAAGAGGACAGAGGAGACGAGTATCGTCTTTTACTTGGTCTTGGAATTTTTGGCAAAGTTGGCTTGTCTTCCGGGAGCGTCGACTTGGGGGCCATCCTGGCGAACAAGCTGCTGCCGGACTGCGTGACCGGCAGTTGATTCTTGGAGCTACTGGCGGCGCCTTGGGCTGCAGGCGCGACTCTTGCCGATAGCGGTACGTTAGGTAGATTTGCGCTGCTCCCATCGTTGTTGGTTGACCGTCTTTTTCGGTGACGGCGACGGTTTTTTCCCTTCCTAGGCGAAGGAGGGGTATTGGGGGAAGGTAGCCTTGGGTTGAACGGAGGAGGAGGAGGAGATTCCGAGCCCGGCAGATTGGCCTGATAGGAGTTACCAGCCGGGAACATTGAGGTGTCTTCCGTCTCGTCAGGGAACCCGTCTTTTGTTTTGATTCCCGCTGGAAACCGTTCACCGACAAACCCTCTCGGAGGGCGATAATACTCGGCAGGAAAGGGCAATTTAACTTTCCTGCTGAGGACAATCGGTGGTTTCCCCATTGGATCCGCGTCAGGGGGTAACTCGTCGACGGTGGTGTATTCAATACGTCAATGTTTATGATCCAGGGCGATTGCCACTCTGGCCACAGCTGACCAGTGGTAGATAAAGTCTGCCGCCCGGGGGTCATAAACTTGTGCCACTTGGTTGCGGAGCTCGACCATGCTAACATGGGAACTCCCGCCTTTGACACGGTAGTCTTCGAGAATGGCATCAATAGCTTTATAGCGGTCATTGTGCGAGTTCGCTTCTGCGATCATAATCTTTTGCGATAGAGATTTCCTGGGACTCAAACGATGAGATGTTTTAACAGAACTAACGGAGGTTGAACGTTTTCTAAAGACTTGTACTAAGAGAATTTCAGTCGCAAGAAGAAAAGATTTTGATTTTTTTGAAAAATTGTATAATTTTCGAATTCTTTTGATGAGAGGAAAGTTTAGATAGGAAGAACGCGGATTGAAGAGTAACAATTTTGTTATGAGTTACTTTGAAAGGGGACAAAAGAAATCGCAAGGTGGGAACTAGGGAGTCTTTATGTGATCTTTTTCCTTCACCTTGACGTCCATCCTTTGATGTGATTGTGAGATACGACGAGATCACAACTGCGAGGAGTAGACGTCAAGGTTAGGGACCCGTGTGCTTCCGCTACCCGAACCTTTCCTACCCATTCCCGTGTGTCAATACGCGTACCGACTCTCATCAACCTGTTGATTGGGGTAATCAGAATTAAGCAGAGAAACTCCAGTAAGAAAACGAAAGATTTTCTTACTTCAACTAATGCATTGCTTTGCTCAACATCAGCAGACACTGATCGGGATCTGTTAACATTAGCCTAGTATGCAGAAAAGGGATGAGTGATGGAACAAAAATATCAGTTATTGTTTCCTATAGAATGGAAAGAAAGATGGAAAAACAGATCCTGACGTACCATTGAGGATGAAGCTTGTGAAACTGTGGTCGATTGACCTCGAGTTGGTTCACGGAGAGCTTGATCTCCCGGTAAAGAGGCTGATCGCTCACGTCTTCGGTGAACGTGGGCATCCCTCACGTCTCGGACCCCATCGAAAAGACCTCGGCGAGAGTCAGAAGATGGGGTTATCATACCTGGCGCACGTCTAGCAGGCGTGACCATACGAGATGAGCGTTAAGTAGCAGGTTGACCATGATCGGTCTCGTACCCGGTAGTCAAAAAAGAATCGATAGTAGGCTGTTTATCTAACATGTTGCAATGGATGTATTGGTAAGTTGATTTGAAATATCAAAAAGTTATAAAAAGGTTTATAAAGCAAAGGTCAGGCAACAATTATGAGATGCTGAGTCGAGTTGAGTCAAAAACGTAGGGAGAAACATACCTTTATAGTAATACCTCCAGAATTCAAAATCGGGGGTTGTTATGGTGAGAAGGGACGTGGAGAATCTACCGGCACCACATCCGAGCAAAGAAAGATCTTGCCCCATTCCGTTGGAGTTCGATCCGGATTGGATGGTGGTATTGGAATGGTGGTATTGGATTTTGGTATTGAGGTAATACTGCTGGCTTGAGGTAATTGATTGGTGGCTGATGGCTGATCGAAATCGAAGGTATGTGTACTTTTAGGCTTACTAGCCAAATCAGCGGCGGGCGCCGCACATCTCCTTCCCAAGAGATTTCTTAGACTTTCACACAGATCCCAGTTTCACAACAGGTGTGATACATAGCGCATCTACAGTTGAACTTAGGTTTTTGAGTCCAACAAAAATTGCTTCTTCAATGTAGACACATCTGACACTCAGCACCACAGTCAGTAACCTGCCGCTCATACTCAAAGCACCAAACTTCCAAGTTAAAAAGTGCCCTGAAAGAATGTGGAGTTGTGCTCAGTCCAGGAGATACATGATACAAGGGCCAGGTAGATTGTCGAGGAGAATGGGAAGTTCTTTTGGGCT